ATAAATATGAAATTATACTCCGGGGAAGAGTAAATAGAGATATAAAAGTCAGGAAACGCTGTGACGTGTGAATTATTATCACTATATATTAGTGGAAATTAGTTTTGTGTTTTGAACAGTTTTTCTTATTGATTTAGTTGTGAAGTGTATGTATTTGGCCATGTCTGGGCACTGCTGAACTCCACAAATTTCTGGTATCTTTCTACCCTCATCCTCTGTGCTGCTGTATTTGCTAATGCTTTTGAAATCCATGCTACCGAAAATTTGGCTGTTTAATGCCAGTTACCATACTTATGTGACTATAAATAGCATACATAATTAAATTACCAGGATGAATTTAAAAGACCTTTCTAGTGTCATCCTTCAGGTCATATAAACTGGTCACTGACTGGGAAACAAAATTCCACAGGAGAAGAGCAGTAGGGAGCCGGTGCCTTTCACTGAACACCAGATTTGTCCCTTTACCACAGATCTTCTTTTCCAGATCCGTGTTCCCCTGGAAGGGATATGTGCTTCAGGGACCTGAGCCAAAACACGAGCCTGTTCAAATATTCAGTGCATGAGGCAACACTGAGTATTCCCATATTTGGGGAAGTGTGCTGATTTTTTTCCTCATACTGACTATGATAGAGCTATACATCACGGGTGTTTGTGATGTTCATAACAATAACACTGTGTAATAATGGAGTATGTAATGAAGTAATAAATATCCTTTAGGATGTGAGACAAAGCCCAATAAATTCATTAAGTAGACTAGATTTCCAGCCACTAGCAGCAGACCTTGCACTTAAATCAGAATCACGACACGGGTTTCAGCAACTGTCCAGCAACAATAGAGACTAGAATATTTTTGGAAACTGACTTTAAAATGAGATGTTTGAATAAAGAAAATGTTCTCTCTTCTATAAATAGTAAGCATGAAGCTAGGCATAATAGACATGAATGTGAAAATGGATGCATCTTAGCATGTTTTTGCATCTCAGTTTGATTGCACATTGTGAGAGCTTGTGCCTTGATGCCTTCTCTCCCGGAGCCTCGCGATCACAGAAGCCGGTGCCGTGGCTGATGAAGCGAAGCTGCCCCTGCTGCAAGAGCAATTTGAAGTGAAATGCAAGGCACCAACCTCTTGCGGACTTTGGTACAAAATTTGGAAATTTCTATGCAAGTACTGCTCTTCAACACCACTATCTCACATTTACACATATCCACCTGAGCCTGCATTGCACGTGGTGGCAAACACAAAGTAAGGCTGGTGCTGTGGAAAAGGCAACAGGGTCAGACTGAGAAAGCTTTCTTCTAACCCCAGCTCAGCAAGGGGCTTCCAATGTGAGCCTTTCAGTTCATTTAGTCCCATATGTCCACACTCCAGCTGCAGCCTCAGACAGGGCACCGGAATGTGCTCGCTGGGTATTCAGACACACTGTATTGCAGAAGCCCATAAACAAACTGCCTCCTGGATTAAAAAAAAAAAAAAAAATGAATTTTTAGTTAAGTCTAAATGCTTTAATTTTCGTTTGGGTACATATTTACTGTTGTATAGGCATTCGAGGTCTGCCACAGGTTTGTTTGTGTGACTGCTAAAGATCTAAAACCAAATGTGCTTTTTTTCCTGTGCTTGAGGAAATACGGAGCTGATGTTTTATACGAAGACCTTCATCTTCCTGAAAAAACACTGGTGATCATCCACATACAGCTTTCCAAATTCTTGCCCATGTGACCACTACAGAGTGGATATGCAAATATAATGCATTGAGAGGACTTGGAAGTTATTGCATATTTATTTCCAGTTTGCTTTTCCAGGTAGATTCCTCCTACTGAAGATCAAACTGAAAGGCTGTGTGGAAGCACAACAGTAACTGAATGAATTCATATATTTTTCTGGGTGTTGCCAAAATGCTGGTTATAGAGCATACAAGCTGGTTGAATAATATAATTCACATGACATATTCTTCTGGTTTTGATATTATTTCTTATTCTTTGATCAATATTTAAAGTTCAACTACCTGTTCTTACCAGCAGATTTTTTTAAAAAAAATTTAACAAGCTAAAGAAATAGTGAAACAAATGTTTTCTCTTCTGTAAAGTCAGTATTGATTGATGGGTGTATGAATAATGAGCATTTCAGGGGAGAAGTTGGATCTACAGCAGCAGAAGTGAAAAGGAGACTTTGGAAAGGGCATGCTGGAAAGCTGGCATTGCTCTACCTGTGGAGTAACGACAAACGGCAGGGCCCTTAGTGTATCTGTGCTGGAAATCTTTTCATTAACTGGTCTTTTAGGTGTTGCGCTGCATATTATATGGGTGCACCTTATACATTTCCACATATTAATGTATACACCTGGACATCCTACATTCCCCTGCATAATCTCAGATGATGCCTACCTCCTGTTTTGTCTCATGTGTGGTCTTTTGACTGCAAAGAAGAGAAGTTGCTGCTCACTAAATAGATGAGGAAAACTTTTATAATTCCATGCTAAGTCAACAATTTTAGGTGCTGTTTAGGCCTAAGGCAAACCTAATTAATGAGACTTAAATGCAGAATTTGCTCAGCCCCCCAGGTTCAGTGGTACTGTAGAAAACTCCAGCTGTGATGATGTATTAGAGTCACAGATAGGACAAAATGAAGCATACATTATTCTTTTTTAATCTTCTATTTTCTGGTACAGAATAACACCCTCAGACTATGTTTTCAATGGTAACACTCAATCTGTTTCAAATAGAAATACAGTTTTCCCTTTCAGCGGGTTTCCTTCCTATTCCCATTTTGTACAATGGATAAATAACAAGGCTGAAAAGAATGCTTGTCAACTTTAATTTTGCCAAACATGTAAATGTTATAAAAATAACCTTTAGAAAAAATCCCCAGACAAACCAAAATATTTCCACAATTTAAGTACAAAGGTTACAGAGCTGAACAGACAAATTACAAACAAATAAGCACTGGGAGCCTGGAGAATCAAAATATTTTGCCATGGGGATCCTTCAAATGAAAGAGCTCAGAATGAGAAGTAAAACTGACTTTATGCAGACTTCTGTTGTCCAAATAAAAAGGCATGCGAACATACAAGGCAGCCATTGGATGCTTTTATTAGCTGCTGTTTGTGAAAATACAATATCCAAGACCTTTGGAGTCCTTCAAATTATGTATCCATGTCAGGCCTCAGGGATTACAACAGAGAACCAGGAGTTTGCTCACCAACTGCAGGATTGGATCCTCAGCCAGTGTGCTCAGATTTTACTGGGAAAATGTCCCTCTGAGTTAGGTGTGTTATTTTTTTTCACCAAGAGTTTTGACAGTGAAACATTGAAATTAATACATTTACGCTTATACAAAACTGCATTCTCCAGTTATAGCATTTTTCTATATAGAATTGTAAACAAACTATACGTCTAAGCTCATTTATATGAATACTAGAGCTGATAAGATTTTTAATATTTTAATTATATTGATAACAGTAAAACACGAAGCATGCATATTGAGAGTGCTTAAAATCAGACTAACTGATAAAAGGTATTCACAAAGCTGTTTTGTTACAGGGAAATCTGTTTGCTGCCCTTCTGTGGTAGCTATACGTTCACTGGCATCCCAATTTCTAGCAGTGAACAATGACAATATCTGCATTAACTTCTTGAATCTGTTTGCAAAGAAATAACAGAGCCAAAATAGATGAACTGAGTTGTTTTAACAGCTAAACAATGAGAAAAGCAAGGGTGTGGGGACTGATCCTTTTTTGATGCCAAACTGGAGATTTTTCATCAAATGTAAATTCATGTCAGTTATCTCACTACAGAGGTAGTCAAATAACCTTTTTAGTTCAATTTAATAAACTAAATTTTGGGAACGTAAGGGGCATTTATCTTTTTGAATGAACAGAAATTAATCATTTCTAATCGTAATTGTTCTTTCTGGCCTCAGTAGCAAAGGTGGTTATATTCCTAAAAAGTGGTGTCATATGTGCCATTGGTGCCAAGGGAGCCCAAGTGGCAGAGACTATAAATCAATGTACAGCCTGTTTAAAAGCAAGGGACAAAACCCATGAACATTGATTTTAAAACTGCTTCAGATTACTATTCTTTTATGATTAACTAAAGCGGACTTCAACTTCCCTTGGAGATTTCAGTACTAGCATGATAAAATTCATCTCTTTTAACTGACCAGTTTCAGTGAGTATTTATTCAGTACACTGTACATACATGGCACCATACAGCAAGCAGAAGGTCACTTGATTAATCCTTGCTCCAAAGGTGTAAGTGGATATGATCATATGCAATACAAAACCAATACATATTGATTAGCGTGACAATGCCCCACTGAACAGATGCTTCTTGAAAGGAGAGTGGAAGCCACTGGGCACAGGAGGCCTCCTCTGCCCTCTCCTGTGATGGTAAGGTAAACCAAGACCTGTCGCCAGAGTGCTTCATGGTTGCTGTGGTGTAGCAACACCCCCAGTGCCAACCTGGCTCAAATAATATTGTTAGAGAAAAACTTTTAGTGAAGTCCATACAGCCAGAGAGTCCCTGGACCTCCCAAGACTCCCCAGAGGACCCCAGTACCAAGGTTAGGTTACTCTCCCAGCCTGTGGTCATGAGTCACTGCTTGGCGTCCTTAGCTGTCCTCCCAGAACCAGTTCCTCCCAGGCTCATAAAATGCTTCTACAAAACAGAGATGAGTCTGTTTTACCCCAAAAGGACTGCTTATATCTGTGGCCAGCCCCAAACTCCATGCAGTCCGGGTCACTCATGCAGGCAACCACTGCGTGCCCGGTCTGTTGAATAAGGCAGACTAGCACCTCTCTGTGCCAAAGGCTTGTCTCAGGGATAGAGAGGGAGATGCCTGTTTGGCGAAGGGATGTTTACACAGGGATGCACGCTCAACCCTGACGGACATACCTGTTGAAACTGATTTGATCTCACATGCCTCAGCTCCCCCTGTGTCTGTCCTGTGGTGGATCCACACTGACATGTGGGGAAAAAAAAAAAACACAACAAAATGGCAAAAGTGTGAAAAAACCACATCCCTCTTATTTATTAGGAAGGAGGAAGTGTCAGATATGGGGGAATCATGTGAAATCATTGGTCAGGCAACAAAGAATGAACACAGACTAAGTGGGAATGGAAAGAGCAGCTAGACGATGCAAGGCGATCAGACGTGTCAGCTGTAGTGACTTTCAGGACGTTTATTTCTCAGTCAGTGAGGAGATCTTGTTCCTGGTGAATCCGCACATCTCTGAATCTGGAACTTCCTCCTAAGGCTTTCTTGAGCTAGCAAAACCTAATGAAGATTTTGGTGAAATACGCTGTCATGCAGAAAGGCTTTCTGCTGAAGCCGCCCGGGCCACACCAGTAGGAAACTGGTGGGAGAAGAAGAACGGGGTTACGTGTGCTTGGGCAGGTCCAGGGTGTGGTGGCCACAAGTGTTTCTCCTCCCGTAGCTCCCATAGCTACCTGTTGGGGTCTCAGTTAGCAAACCTACTTCAAAATCAGGTATTGTTCGATGCTTAAGCTTATTACAATGTTTGGGTCTTTTTTTTTTTTTTTTTTTTTTTTTTTTTTTTTTTTTTTGCCCCCAATTCACTAGAACACAATTTAGCATTGGAAAAGCTGCCATTATTCTGTATAACCTCTAGCTGCTGGCTGTTGTTCGTCTGCCTGTGTCACCGGGCTGATCAAAGCCTTGCCGGCTTCACTGGAAGCATCACTTGTGAGTGTGTCTGGAAGCGCTGCTTAATCACAGGGGCTCACCTTTCAGGGCAACGGCGGCCAGGAGAGCTTATAGCAATGTGCCCAAGAGTCGGAGTTAACCATTAGGAAGCTCTGGGAATCTTCTGCTGAATACAGGGGAGAAGGAGAGTGAGAGACAGAGTTTGAAAATCATGCAAGACTCGGGAAAACCCTGATTCAGCAAAACACAGATTCCTCTGCCTCTAACTTCAAGGCTGTCTCAGCTTAATAGAGCGGCTAAGCAGACCCATAATTTTATATACGGCAAATACCCCAGTCTTCCCTGAGACGGCTCGTGCACACAGAGTTGAGTACATGCTTAAATGCTTTGCTGGGCTGTGGACTAGCTCTCAGTAAAACAGTCTGGTTACCACATAGTCTTGTTCGAAATTCACAAACTGTGAAGGTAGGTACTTCCACTAATGAGCATTTACTCTTGAGGTGGTGTCACATGAAATTTTTTGCTTTTTAAATGCGGATGACAGATACTAAAAATCTGTTTCTCTCCACGTAGCATCTCTGTGGTACTACTGTGTGCTGCATACACCAGACGGTTCTCTGTGACCGCAGAACATTTTATCTGTTTTAGGTTTATTATCTGGCCCAAGAAGAAACAGAAACACCTTTAGGTTTGGTTATTACATTTCATAGAACAGTCTCAAGAACATGTTGAACAGGTTGACAGAGTTATATTTAAATATAATCAGGTATGGTGAACTTTCTTGTTTAAAAGTTTAGCTTTTGTAAAGATGTATTTATAAGCATTCGGTTTCCTGAAACTTTCATACCAAATGTGACACAGACACAACTCCTTCTGCACTCTCACACAATTCTTACTCAGAATTTCAGCAGAACCTCACCGCTGTTGTTAAGTTGTAGCTGTATTTTGTGGAAATGTGTTTTACTCAAAATTCTTCAAAACTCTCACGCCATTCTGACCTGCATTTCTCTGTATAAGCCTAATAGTTAAAATTTCTTTGGGTTCTTCAGTTTCAGCGTGAGCAATCTTGTTACTGAATGAAGAACATGCTTTGTTCCTGTGGAGACTTAAGTCTGCAAAGTCAGTGTGTTTCTTCAGTTCATCAAATTATGTATATTATTTTTTTTTGTAATATGAGTGGACAGGGCACATATCTGCAGTCTGTCACTTGTGAATTGTCACTCATTTTACTCAAATGATGTCCTTACTGAGGCAAGATAGTTCACTTTGATACATGACGCAGGAAGGATCCTGTATAAATTGCCAAGGAAAAACAGGATGAAAACTCAATCGTATTCTTTCAGCATGAGTTTCAGAGAATAAGGTTATTCTCTGTTTAACGTTTCCTTTCAGAATTGAATAAGGAACTTAATTAATTACGTTTAAACGCCATGTAATTTGCCTCTGCTCTGACCCCATACTCCGGGGGGCTCATTCCTGCTCTTACAGCGGTGCAGACAAGACCTGCCTTGGGAGCGGAGACGACTTCTCAAGCGCCGTTTCCTTGTTCCCCTCCCAGGATCGGCAATGCGCCGGGATGGCCACGGAGCCGCTGGAAAATAATGGCAAAACACGTATCTGGAAAGAGGATGAGGAAGTGAAATCAGACGGCTCCACCGCCCTGCGGGAAAGCGAAAGAAATAAATACAAATCCCCGAGGCAGATGGTGAGTGTAAACACACCGGAGCGGAGCTGAATCCTCCCCCCCCCCCCCCGCGTGTTTGCGTCTCGCCCGAGCAGACCGGGGGAGCTGCTTTGCCCGACCCACCCCCCCACCCGCGGAGCCCCGTGGGGTGCGGACCCCGCCTCACCGGCCCCGCAGCGGCGGGGGGGCAGCGCCGGCAGGTGGCAACGCGGGGCGGCACCCCCCCACACCCCCCCCCCACACACACACACCCGCGACACGCGTGTACGCACGGACACGGACACGGACACGCGGGGAGAGGCCGTCCCGCACCGCGCCGCGGGCACACGCGCCCCGCACCGGCACACGCGCGGAAGCGCCGCCCCGGCCCGCCCCGCCCCCGCCCTCCCCACACGCCGCCAATCCGCGCGCGCACACACACACACACACGCACACGCACACACGCTATACATACACATACACATGCACACGCGCACACGCCCGGCCGCGACATGACGGGCTGACGGACGGACAAACAGACGGGCTGGGGCGCCGCCGCTTCGGACGGATTATTCACCCCCGCGCCGGGGGGGGGGACGCAGGGAACGCGCACCCACCCGCGCACCCAGCGGGGCGGTGGCGGCGCCTCAGGGGGCCGGGAGGGTCCCCCAGCCCCCGCCGCCGGAGGACGGCGAGCGCCCCGGGCGCTGGAGGAGCCCGGCCAGGTAACGCGGTGTGTGTGTGTCCCCCCCGTCCCCCCCCCCGCCCCGGGCGGCAGCGCCGGGCTGAGCTCCCCGGCGCGGCGCTGAGGGGGGAGCCGGGCCAGGCCGCGGGGCGCCGCGGGGCTCCGGAGGCGGCGGCCGGCGGGGAGAGCGCGGCGGCGCGCGGCGGCAGCGGCGGGGGCCGCCTCGCCTCCCAGGTGCTGAGGGGATGCGGGGGGGGGGGGTGGCCCCGGGGGGGGGCGGGCGGCCCAACCCCTCGCCCGGCCTCGCCTTCCCCGCCGGCGGGGCGGCGGCCGCCGGCTGCCCTGCGCCCACCCGCGGCGCGGCTGCAGTGGCGGATCGGGGCTGCCGGTGCCGCAGCTCTGCGCGGATCCCCGGTAGCGGCGGGGATTAGGGAGGGCGGCCGGGGAGCCCGTGGTGGTGGTGGTGGCGGCGGCGGGGAGGGGGGACGGACACACGGACGCCGGCGCTAGCGCCTTTGTGGCGGGGGCGGTCGGGGGCTCGGCGCCCGCAGGTGACAGCCCGGGGCAGGGGTGGGGGCGGGGGGAGGCCGGGGGCGGTGGGGGGGCCCGCCGGGCCCGGCCTGCGCGGGGGCGCAGCGGGGGGAGCCGCTGCCGCGGCGGCTGCACCTCTCCGGGAGTCGGCTCCGGCCTCGCTGCTGCAGGTGCAGGGGGAAGAAGATCAGATGCTTTTTTGGCCTTTCTTTCTTTCTTTCTTTTTTTTTTAATTCCCCCCCCCCCCCCCCCCCCCCCCCTCTTTCTTCTCTCCCTTCTCTCCTCTCTCTTTCTCTTTCTTACACCCCCCCCGCCCGGGTTTTTTGAGCAATCTACAGTTAACTTGTGGGCACGGCAGGCAGGAGAGGGTTCCGAGGGGTGAATGGGTAGGGCTGAGGCACTGGCTGCCCTGTGTGGCCTTTGCCGTGGGGTTGGATTTGGAGGCAGGAGCTGGAGGATGCTGCCTGTGTTTTCCGAAATTGCATGGCACGCTTGAAAGTGGAGCAGAAGGTGATGGTAATGCTTGTTACGGAAGCGGTTCATGAAAATCCCCTATTTCCTCTAGGTAGTTTTTATGTTGTTTCTCCTGGCTGAAAGAGGTTGTCTTTCACTTTTGGCAAGGAAAAGAGCAGTGCTGCGAGTTGTCTTGCGAAGGAACGTGGTGGTTCTGCTTTTCCACAGAACCGGGAACCCCCACAGCTTTATGTCACCTTCTCGCCTTTGAGATTGACAACAGTAAGTGTCTCAGCATCGAGAAGAGAAACTGTGTTACGCTTTATTTTCTTATTGCACACCTTTATAGTTGAATGTAACTAGAAGAGAGACTCAGAATCTCCTCTTATCCTTTTCTACGCCAGATGTGTTTTTCTATCTAGTATATATTGCACTTGAAGTGTTAAACTCTCAAGGGGCATGGAGGTGGGGATGTGAGGCAAGGTCTACTAGTTACTTCAAACAATTCTCCTTGCTCATACTTAAGAAGGAGAGAAAGGAACATGTTGTAAAAGCAGCTGAGGAATATATAAAAGTGAAATATTAATGAACTGGAAAAGCTCAGATAGCAAAGACATTGCGCCTAATCATTCAGGAGGGTTCTTGCCCTCTTTACAACTCCTCATTGTATGTGCCTCTGTAGTACAAATGCAATTGGTATAAAGGACAATGATACTTGTATTTACCTAGCTAGAAGTAGTAATGGTACATAGTATTTTTTTGCATTGATGATCATCTCTGCAGTGGCTCGCTTTAGCTATGATTTTTGAGGCTGCTGTAGGGCAGAGGATTACTGCAAAAACAGTAAAAAATATTTCAAGTATGTTTTTTTTAGAAATGGAAATGGGAAGGGCTGACTCAGACCTGGAATAGCCCAGAGGAACAGCTAGCCTTAGAAAGTTCTCCTGGAGACATGGTGATGACTCTTTTCACCCTGAAGTTATTATTCATCTCTGGCATCCCAGATGGAGGGCAATGTCCCTTAAATAGGCACTACCTTCTAAATTCCCTAAATAGAAGGCAATATGTGGCTGTCCAGGATCTGCTGAAAGCATGTTGTACAAACAAGGGATATTTGCTGCACATCGGAGTTCCTTTACTCCTTGGAGTCTGGACTGCAATGGTCCCTGTAGTTTGAAGAACTTCCCAGGTTTCGTTTGGAGGGATACTAAGTGCAGCAGCTTTCTGTGGCAGTTTGGTGAGGGGAATTTAGTTCAGTGGGAAAGCTGTCTATCAGCCCGCAGGGTGAGGTCCTGGAGCCCTGGCTGTAGTCCCTGGCAGGACTTTTGGAATAACTGGCGCACACTGGCTTAAGCAGGGCCTGCATCTGGAGAGCTTGGTGCGGGCCTGAGTAGGGGTATAGACATGGGGACCTGTACCGCGAGGAGGACCTGGAACAACAGTACTTAGGTTACTTACCATGCCTGGGTTACAAGAGAGGGTGTTTGGTATTTAAGTCTGTTAGTTACAGAAGATGCTGAAAAAGCATCTTGTGTCTTCAGGTCTAAGCATATGGTTGTGTGAGAGCACGATCTGTCATGCTGCGTAAGCTGTGTGTGGTTGAGTTTTTCCTCCTTGATTCAAGCCTAATGCCTCACGTAAGCATTTGTAGTTAATAGCTGGACATAGAACAACTTACAATAAATTTGGCAATGTTTTTGTTCACTAGATAGAGTTTTTCATAAATTGCAAGAGAAACATAGAGATGTTGCTCCATCTGGACCAATTTCCGCTCCTCCATGAAAGTTAATGGAAGATACTATGGCTTTGCTGTATTAGCCCATCTGGAGGATTTGGAAGGTCAGAAATACATAAGGTTGACGTGTGTTTTTTTTATGTGTTGCTGTGAATTGCACAGATACAAGTCACTGGGAAAAGCACTTTGTCAAAATAAACTTAATGGCAGATTTTGAAAAACATAAAAATCTGCACATTCAGAGGACTTGACATTTTCATAGAGTTTACATTTCTGGATTCTTTTCACTTACTTTTGAAGATGTCCTAATATAAGGAGGCTATGTATTTACCAGGTGTTACAGACCTTTAAGGTTAAGAAGTGAAAGCTGCACAGTTGTTTTTCTGAGGTTGATTAATACAAGGAAAGCATGAGATGAAACAGCATTTGTGTGTCAGTGAAAAGAAACCTTATAGACACTTCAAGTCAAATTAATAAGCAGTGCATGTCTACCAGCTCGTTAGGGGGAAGAACTGAACTGTATCGCCTATCTTGCAGAAGTTACTTGTTATAAGAAGTTAGCTTGTTGTAAGATTCAGTGCCTCAGGTCTTTCTCCTTGTGAAATAGTTCTGCTGCAGTTGGAGGGGCTCATTACAGGGGGGGAGACAAAAGGAAATGGATACATAAATAATGGCAAGTAGGGACTGGTTCTTTTCCTGAGAAATAACTATGCAACTTCATCAGGTTTTTTTTCTTGTTATTGCATTTATTTGGCAGTTTTCTGCAATGGTAGTAAACCGGGTTACCTTGATAAAGTAAATATGCTTTTGTATTACACTTCAGCTATTGAGTGTGCTGGCTGTGTGGGATGGTATGTGCAATACAGAACTTGTAAGCACTTAAAATGTGTAGTGTGGTTTGTACTTGTAACATTTCATGTATATTCCTGTGCTTCAGCAAGGGCCTCTAACTTTGAGGTTATGGAAGGTGCGGCCATATATATTACATGCAGCTGCATTAAACCTCTATAGCTGTTCACTAGTTAAACATGTGGTTACTCGTACTTACTGCTTTTTGTCTTGTTCTCACTGTACTACACGGCACAGTGTATCACTTGGGTAATATAAGCTCACACACTCTTGTGACTGAAGACTTGTAGTATCATTTCTTCATTGTATGGCATCAAAATGTTAATGGTTCCTACAAAGTCAATTGCTTTTACCTGAAACATGATCTGTCTGGTACAGCATAGTTGTTTTATAATAACATGCAATGATAGTGTAAGGAAGAAGAAACCACAGGCAAGCAATAAATAAAAGCAGAGAAGTCCTGGATGTGGAAAGGGCAAGAAATTTTTAAAATGTGCAGTGTAGTCTGTTGCATGCATTTGTAATTCTGCACAAAAACTTAAAAAAAAAAGACCCCAAATACATAATTGAGGTATATTATCAGATCTGAATGATGATGTTCTAAGTTGACTATAGCTGATACTAATTTTTTGCCCTGGATATTTCTGTGTAAGTCCCTGTGAGTATTGAGGTATGAATGTGTAATTATTTTCTTCATAGATGGGAAGTGGAAGCAGTGATTTTGTTGAAGTCACACAGTTGATTTGTGCTAGAGAAAGACAGTTGAACTGGAATGTGCATTGCAAGTCCCACAGTCTTATCTTAATGACTTAACTGTGTAAGTATAGGTTTTTTGATAGTTTGGCATAGATGTGGAAATCTTCTACAGATCCATTTGCACGATTTGGGTGTAAAGTTATGCAGCATTTTCTCTATAAACACTAATTACTAGCATATAATTTTTTTCAGTCTAGGAGAAAAAGCTTCTCCTGGATTGTGTTTTGTTAAGTTTGAGAGAAAGCAGTTCAGCAGTCCTAGAATGCAATGACACTTTTACATTATTTAAGGAAATACCACTTAATTTTTTATAATGCTCTAGCATATCAGGA